AAAAAATCTTTCATTTTTTTCCACACCACTCAATCTCTCATTCTCTCAATCTCTCTACTCCAAATCTCCAATCAAATTCTCATTCAATTTATATTTATATTTATAATTTATAATTTATTCATATTATTTATTTATTTATTTATATTATTCAATTTTTTCTATTTTTCAATATCATCTCTTATTCATATTATTATTTAATTTCTTTTCATTTCATTTTAATTATTTATTATTTTATCATAAATTCATAATGGATTCCCAAAATGATGCATTCGGAGGATCATCCCCAAATGAGTTTTACGTTCCATCCATTGAATAAATGGAAGGGTTTAATCCATTTTCACCTTTCCTCTAGAGGCAGTAGCTGTAATTCCACAACCATATTCAATCGGGACGAGGTGTAGCCAAACACATGCGAGTTGCGAGTCAACGGGCACGGGCATAGCCCAACCCCCCTGACCGTCAAAGAGGGTAGTGTCCGATGTATGGCGACACTTCACCAAATCAAAACAGTCAAAGACAAATGGAGAGGGGAAAGAATCGTGTGGGATATGTAATTTCTATGGAACCATTATTAGCACTAAGAAGGAGACTTCGATGATGCGACGACACATGGAGAAGAAGCACCCCCAAATAATCTCTCGGTACATCTTCAACTGGATCAGGTAGACAAATTCAAACTCAACTTAATTTTAATCCACAATCCTCAACTTTCTCAACATGGCAATACAATGCAGATGTTGCATGAGAGGAAATATGACTCCAGATTCAGGTTGTCCTCACGAAAGTATCAGGAGATATGAATGGTCATTTGATCGTATTTCTTATGTAACTGATCCAACGACTAATTCTAAATAAGCTAGACGTATGCCAAGTCATTCACAACTTCTACGAAAGGAAAAGACCACGTTTCAATTTCCATGCTTGCTCGCAAGATTGCATCTTAGAATGTTCAGATTCACATATCCTTACATATTGCAGCTTAATTCCCCACATTTTCAACCTCATAATTAATATTAGAAACCCCCAATTTCAACAATCTACACTTAGATTGGGCTTGATTCTCTTTTAACCAATTAAATTGCTATAGACCATGTCAACTGTGGAAAAACAAAATAATCATTATGGTCTTTATCTTCAGCAAGGGACAATCTGTTAGTCTACGATTTTAATCTTTATAGTGCCAAACCAAAGTCAGAACAAACTAATCTCAACCGCAAGTTTCCTTTGCTATATTTTACTAAATACAAAGTGACATGGTTCAAATTTTTCCGGTACTAATAGGAAATATAAGGATCCATGATCATCCGTCCCATCACAACATCCTGGAATTATCTTACCTTAAACCACTGGCCATTTTGTTCAACATACACCACCAATATGTTTTCTTTATCAAGCTCACCCTTCCAACTCTTATGTTGCCTAATAGTGTTATTCATTCTCCCTCTTCCTTCACGTTCGGCCGATCCTGATCCTTACAGGACTTCGTGTTGCAGACTTGAATTCCTCCGTATCAGTTAATGGCTTCCCCTGCAAACTGCTGAACAAGTAGTTTCGGATGATTTTTTCTTCGATGGGCTGCGCAAGAGGAACACATCAAATATCTTCGGAGCGACAGTGACTTCAGCTAATGTTTTCACGTTCCAGGGCTCAATACGCTGGGGCTTTCAACGAACCGGTAGACTTTGCCCCCGGTGGAATCAACCCACCTCATTCACACCCCCGTGCATCTGAGACAGGTGTTGTGATTGTAGGAAGCTGCTGGTAGGATTTGTAACAGGTGACAACGTGTTTCACTCAAAGGTTTTGAGTCCGGGAGATGTTTGTGATTCCAAGAGGACTGGTTCACTTCCAACTAAACGTTGGGGAAGGAAAGGCTCTTGCTTTTACATCTTTCAACAGTCACTTCCCTGGTGTGTGATTTCTTCCACAAGTCTCTTCGGTTCAACGCCGTCAATTCCTAATCGGTGTTGACCAAAGCCTTCCAGGTGGGAGATGATGAATCAATGGATCAGATCCAAGTTTGGTTCTTGACCATTTCTCAACTATGCATTTTCAAGATTGTTTCATGTTAATTTGCTTCTTCACATCCTTCAACCTCTCAGAAGTGATGGATCATTTATTGTTTATATAAAAAATCATTGCGATTGCAGTAGTCTGTCAACGTATGTATGTGTACTGAAAGGAATAAGAAGATAAGATTAAATAAAGCTTTTGTTAATCTCATGGAAGTGTTAGTATCAGTAGCTCAATTGAAAATTCTATTGTTTTCCCCCTTTTAAGTGCCAGTTTGCTCATTAAGCTATAATACGAACACACGCCAATCTACTTGTTATGGCAATGACTTGATTCAAAGATACATACATACAGATTTTTTTATACCTGGTAAAATAACCCCACATAAATTATTTTTTTATTTTTTCGCAAGACAAAGTATTTCTTCAATAAACACAATCTTTCAGATACGTTCCAAGAACTGAATTCAGATAAATTTTGCTTAAGAACTGATTAATAGAGTACAATCGTATCCAGTCAATATAGGGCTCTCATCGAACATTATTTACACATCTCGAGATCTAACCAACTGATTATTTCTCTTCACTAGAATGAAGAGAAAAATCCTATCCTTCCAAACAGGTTGAATTTTTTCAATTCTTAGAAATTTTATAACATTGCAGTTGATCAAAGAATCACACAAGAAGACCAGTTCTCAATAAAAACCAATTCTTCACGCGATTAGTTGAAAACTACTCATATGAATCATTTGATTGTAAATGACTAAACGTCTACTAAATAAGCATAAATACTGGTTATTCTATGTGATGTTCACTGGAATTGATTTGGTTCTGAAACAGTCAACAAACATCTAAATTGCACTCTTGGTTCATTTCATTTGCCAGAAAGATTTGGTAAGAGAAGTACTAAATTCAAATTCCAGTACGGCAGTGTCAATGATCACCATGTAACCTCAAACATCAAAACAATTTCACATTATTGGAGTCAATGCTTTTATATAAAGAAATTATTAAGCAATCAGTCAGCATCAGTAGGCTTACATCTTTTGAATGAAATCCCTCAACGGTAGGATTCAGGCTCACCCTCGAATTGACGGCTTCAACTTCATTGATAGGAACTACAAGAGTGAAAAAAATAATTAAATTATGTTTACCAGCTAAAGAAGAAAATGTCATATGGCTACAGACAGATAAGATGGGATATCTACACCTCAACCTGCTGCTGAAGTGACGGATGTAGTTAATTATCTTATCAAGGACAAGTGCTTTTAATAACCTGATTGTGAGCAACCATTTATTAATAGATGATTACCAAATCAAATGAGATTGCAGATTGGACTTTATTAAATAAATGACAAAAAAACTTACAGTGAATTCATATAATTTCTTCCTAAGAATAAGTTGAGACTAGCCAAAGAAACGGATAGTAAGTAGTAGACAACTGAAGATACCTTGTTACATCCAGGGGCCAAATCCTGGAGAATCTTCATCCTCTCAAATTTTTTCTCTCCTAGCCTGCAGAAAGGTAAGTACAATAGTGCTTATAGAATTATAACTCATGATGGATTATAGAGGCAAGATAAAATAAAATCTTAAATATGGCTTCAGGCGAAGGAAACCCACCAGATTCCACTGCAAATATTGATGCTCTTATTTAAAAAAACAATATTGCAAAGAAACTCGCTACTTGAAGCATAATATGTTAATGAGTTTTAAAAGTGTTTTTAAACATTAATTTCTCATGACAACTTCTGCCTTCAGTAACAAGAAACGATATTCTGAGGCTTATATGCCTTATTTGTTGGTTATTGGAGCATGCAAATGATGGTTCACGGAGAGAAAAAGGAAGGAAGAGATAAGAGAGATGAAGACCTGTATTCAATATGCATTCACCAAGACATCAAAGTTTATACATGTAATCCTACTGTTGTACCTAACATAAACATATTTTATCCCAAAATCATCTTAACCATACATCTTTAGCAACTCGAATTACTATCACATTAACTTGATATAAAGAGGGCAGCCGAATGTATGCTGAATTCACCAACAATCACCAGCATGCACAAACCAGCTACGGGTGAACTGCTCAGGCCAACTTTACCACTTCAAATTCTGCCCTTTTGCCGGTAGTTTCCTGCTTCAGTCTAATAATCCAAAAATATGTTTCAAGCAAAATCATTACTTTGAACACTCTTCCTTGATATTTTTGCTTGAGACACCAAGTTTAAGTTTAAGATCTTCAAACTTGGACTTACATAAAGCCTTTGTAAAGATGTCAGCCAATTGAACTTCCCCTGCAGTGAGTCAATTGATTTCCCTGCATTGCTGGCCTCCTCACTGTATGAAACTAATGTTATGTGCTTAGTTCGACCATGCATGAACCGGATTCTTTGCCATAACAACAGCCAATTGATTATCACAAAAAATTTCAGTAGGCTCACATGTGTTTTACCTCCATATCATTTAGCATATTCCTCAACCATATGGCTTGATTACTGCACACAGCTAATATGTATTCAGCTTCTGTAGGGATTGAGCCACTGTTCTTGCTTCTTGGAAGACCAGCAAAAAGCTCCACAATTCAGCAAGGAAAACATACCCTGATGTGCTTCGCATGTCATCACAGAGCCTCCAAATATGTCTACATAGCCCACCAATCTGAAGTTTTTAGACTTCTGAACCAGATTCCATGATTTGTTGTTCCTCTGATAAACTTCAGTACTCTCTTGGCTGCTTTAAGAGCTCCTCACTTGGTTTGCTCATAAATTTGATAGGAGACTAGTGGCAAACATTAGATCAGGTCTTATTGTGTTAAATACAGAAACTCCCAATCCACTTTCATAATTAGTTTCATCCACCGGGGCTGCTCATCCTCTTTACACAACCTTTGATTTTGCACCAAAGGTGTGCCAACAGACTTACATTATCTATCCCAAACTTCTCAGCATCTCATTAGCAATTTCCTTTGACATATAAAAAATGTACCCTGTGGACGCTGATGGAAATGAGCGAGAGGATGGTACATTGTTCTTCAAAATGTTGCATTAGCTATATACTTGTATCATACGCGCATTCATAGAAAAAAGAAGTTGAAAGGAAATAGATTTTGATTAATGCTATAAGAAATTTTTGTTCTACTGTGCTTTGAGAAAACTCATAATCCCCGAATATGTCCATTCACCCAAATATAAACTAAATTTATGTGTTTAATCCTTCTCTTATGAAAAAACATTTGTATGCTAGTGTTGAATTTTCATATTCTAAATATGCACTAATAAAACCATAGGCAAATACATTCTATCTCAATTTTCTTTGTGTTTTTAACTGATATTAATTATAAAGATCTCCCCTATTGCAGTGTTGCAGGCAAATGAGCCAGTGGATTTACTCCTCTTACCTGGTATTCTTGTCATCTTTCCTCTTCTGTTAATTATCATGTAGATTTTATAATTGAAACTGCAGTCAGTCGTATTCATCTGGTAATTTTTCCAGGACTTGCATTTGACAGATCTGGGAGACGCATGGGCCGTGGTGGAGGGTAAGGTTCTTGCTCACGCCTTGCAAAAACTGTTTAACCTCTGTGGTATTGTAATTTGAGTTTTAGAGATGCACAGACATGCTTCACTTATATGCATGTAAGCAGGCTTACATGCAATATTAAACCTTTAATCCTGCTTTAAGCCCACACTTCACAAGCCTGGTTGCCTCTCAGTGCTCTATGGCTGCTTGTTTAAAAAATTTAGACAAAAAGGAAACTTCTATTGGTTGCTGGGCCTCTTGTTGAGAGAGAATATTCAGATTGCTCAATCTGATATACAAAAGCTGTAACTTTTAGATCTTCAGAACTTCCAATATCAGTTCTTGAACATAGTTGTTGCCCCAAAAATCTTGCTGAACCCACTCTTGTAACCACTAGAATTGTAACGATAATTTAAACTCTCTGTTTACCTCAATGGTTAATAAGGCTCAATATTTTTTTATTTTTTGCTTTTTTGCTTTTTCTTCGTCTAGCTTTAGCTTGATTGTAAATTCTTAAATTAGTATTGATAATTGTAGCTTTGCTTTAATTTATCCATTGTTGTTACTAACATTATGTCTTAAAACTCTGAAGTTATTATGATACCTTCCTGAAGAAATACCAGGAGCTGGCAAAGGAGAGGAATTGGAGGCAGCCCCTACTTGGTGTGGATTGCTTCTGTTTCATTTATAATCATAAAAAGCGAAAAGCAATGCCTATGAGTAAAATAACCTGATTACATTATTTATGTTTGTACTTTGATTTTGCAGTTGCACTGTCATACTCTTTGCAGATCATGGATGAAGGAATTATACCAGTCACTCCAACTGATGTACCAGTGGATGCTCTTGTATCCCCATCTGGTGTAATTCCCATTAGCCAGGCTGCCTTTGACAGGTGCACCAAACGACTCTTTTCTTTGTGAGTTTTAATTACTTCTTCTTCTCTTTTAACTAATTTAACATCTACAGAATGAAACTTTAACACTGGACTTGGAAATCAAACCTAAACGCTCTCTTCAATGGAAGGAAGGCTCCGACATGCCACTGTCAAGAGGCCACAGCTGAGCGTCCACTGTTATGGCTTTTGAGGTTGTGTAATGGGTTCCAGATATTTGTATTTGTACTCCATTGAGTGAAACTAACAAGCTTGAGATATTAGAATAATGATTGAGAATAGGGTCCATGCCAACTGCCAGGTTGTTTTTGTTTTGGCAAAATGTTGTCATTCTTTTAACTCTCAATCATTCCACATGTTCCACCAGGGTTGCACCATTTTTGTTCTTTTTTTTTTTTTTTTTAATGAATAAACATTACATCACGTTATGAAGTCAGACCGCATGTTTTTATGTAACATTCAACTATCATTTGCAATTCTTAAATGGAGGATCTCTGTATATATGGGTCTTGAAAGTTACAATGATTATCCAAAATGCGGCTAGCCAATGTAGAAGGCTATATCTCCTGGCCCTTGGTGCTATCTGAGAGTCAAAGCTGGTGAAAAATTTAGCTGCTGACGATCAATGGACTTGGTCATCAAACTACTCCCTACAGCTCTTGACGATTACTAGACTTGATCATTAAAAGTATTCTTTGCAGCTGCTGACGATTGCTGTTGTTGGAGACTTGGTCACTGATGTCTTGTACGACTTTAATCCTCCTTCCTAAATTGTCATGAACTTAATTTGGATTAGTTTTAGAACCAACAGGCCAGCACACTTATTTTGAATAAATACCTAAGGGGAAAAAAAATGGTTGGTTTCCGAACAAGTTAAGGTTTATCAGGTGCTTCCATTGGCTTGTGTCAGCATAAGACTTCGAAGAACGTCTGCTCNTTGGTTTATATTTTAATTAAAACAAAGAAGAGCCATAGTTGGTCACACTGAATGTTGGAGGAGGGAGCCCGTTATTCATTCCTGCATATAGAAAATCAACGGGCAGTTGTTCCGTTTCCAACCCATGGGTAACGGAAATGCTTTTAACGAACAAACTGCTTCAATAATCTGCTTTCTACTCCGAAATGTGAAATTATAGAACAATATATAACATGTTATTCCCGCCCTTTTTAAAAAAAATATACAAGACACAAGGCTATTGGTGCCTTCTGTCAGTACTCCTATGGATTCCTTGAGCACATCAACAATGCAGTAGTAGGTCAAACTCCAAACAAAAGAATGATGTTGATCAACCTCAACTTAAACAACAAAAGCTCCTCTTTTTAGAACACATCTACACTGGTAAAGAAGCAAACAGAAATTACAAACAGATGGTCGAAATATGAAAATTACAAAAAATAATCAGGTGTCTTGCGTGTGGTATCAGGCTCTATTTGCCGGGGTGCAGGATCAAATTGAAGAAAATTCTGGTCCATATTCTCCCCAATCTCCAAAATTGCAGCCATATTTCCACACCGGTAACAATAGTTTGGAGCACTAAATACAGTCACAACATTTTTTTCCTAAAGGAGAAATTAAATGGTAGTTAATAACTAATAACAAATAATAAATGAAAATGATATAAACAAAGCTAATAAAATCCCTAAAGGTTGTCACACCTGACACCAATTGTATCCTTCCATGACAAGCTGGTGTGCCCTTGAAATCAGTGAGAGTCCATTTGTGTGATTGAACTGAGCTGCAATATCCTGCCCAAAAGTGTAACCAGCACCACGAGGAGATATTCCCCATCCACAGCGGTCATCTGGATCAGACCACAAGAGATCACACATGGGTCCTTCATGCGGAACCTACATGTGCACCAATTATTAAGACACAAGGCACCATTACATGAAGAACACCAAATCAATGGTAAAAGATAAAAAAAACTAGCAATAATGTGCTAAATTAAACACCTGAAACACCTATAAAATTTATAATCTTGATTGTGCTTCAATAAAAAGCATCAGCCTAGTCATTCTAAACATACCTCCTGTATGCGGTCTAAGGCCCTGATGTTATCTAGTGTATCCAAAGATGGTGACAGTCCCCCATGCAAACAGAAGATCTAAGACAAAAAATTTAAGGGGGTTAGAGGTTACTGTGACATCAATCAAGGTAAGACAGTTCAACAAAAAATGTACAACTCAAACCTGACTCTCAATAAGGGCTGTAAGGGGAAGATAATCAAAAAGGTCGGTAAAATACTTCCAGACATTGGCATTTCCATATTTTCTCAAGCATTCATCATAAAACCCATACCTGAAAACAGAAAGGAAAAGAATCACATGAAACATAACAGCATAAAAATCACCATCTAAGAGTGTCCATGCATATGCAGTACGCTGTATCTAAGTGTGTATTTGAGAGAGAGAAGCTTAAAGAACTTATATATCTTTCCATCTCCCATAAAATGTGTTTCAAACATCAATTTGATTAGGATCAACATTTTTCCCATGTTATAAGCCATCTTAACACAACTACCAGAGTCTTTTTTCTCCCTTACCCCTCCCTGCCCTCATACATGCATCTGCTTCAAACAGAGCATTTAGTATCTACCAGTTCTACATTAATGCGCTGTCAAAGAGCAGCAACCCACATCCACCTTGACTCAAATCTATGGGAGATGGAAAGATATATCTGTTATGCAATCTCCCTTTGCATAATCACACTAATCCGTCTTATGTAGTTGACCATGGCACTAAAAAATCTTCTTTTTGATAAGTAACAGCACTAAATACACTTTGAGATAAAGAGAGAAAAGAAAAACACCACTGGCCAAAAAAAAAAAAAAAAAAAAAAGAACAGCTATGAGACAATGTTCTGTAATTTCTGGCATAGAGAAAGAAACAACTGCTATGTGCATAGGATCTACATGTTTTCTAACAAAAACAGCATAATTTTTTACCCAAAATAAGGTGATCTTGAAGTAATGTATGCAAAAGAGAGTTAATCCAAAGAAATGGCATAACTCAGTTGATTGCTTCGGCAGTGTTCTCATTAACCAGTTACATTGAGGACTCTGTCCATGCCAACCTCATATAAGACATAATGTTAGACCACCCATACGTAAAGTTTATAAATTGAAAGGCAAGAGTAGGAATAGGCATTAAAGTGCAGTGAGGGTGACGTGACAGTGAATGCGGAGAGTGTGGTGAGTTTGTTATGAGTGTGAAGAGTTTGTTATAAGAAAGTACACGTGGTTGATATCAGTTGATACAGAATAGAATAATTAGTATATAGAGAGGAGGGAGAGAGGCCAGGTCATTATCAAGGAATATCTTCATAGGACAAATTGGGAGGCCCCCAGCTCCTCGAACTGCTGGGAATCTGCTTGTTGAATGAATTGCTCTTTCAAGGGATATTTCAATCCTAATTAATACTATTTCAGTTCTTTTCAGATTGTGCAGTTATTTGCTATTGTGCTTGTGTTTGCGGTTGTTGTTTGGATTTGTTTTTCAGGGGAGTTCCATCAGCTTGGTATCAGAGCTTGGCTGGGGAATGGTCAAATTGAAGATGGAGAACAGAATGGAAAATATGGAAAAAGAAATGAAATTGGTGAAGGAGGACATGAGCTCAGTGAAGACTGATTTGGGTAGCCTTAAAGAATACCTGACCGAGATGCAAGAGTTAATGAGGATTAGGGAAGAAAGGGATGAAAAACGTTATTGCGAGAAGGAGAAGACACTGTCGTCCTCCGAGAATCATGATTCTGGTGTTGTCCAAGAACAGGGGCGAGAAATTAATAGAGATATTGGGAAAGAGGAGAAGAAAGGCAAGAAACTTGAGCTTCCAATCTTCAATGGAGAGGATCCATTTGGGTGGACATTCCGGGCAGATCGCTACTTTTCCATTAACAAATATGGAACATCGGAGATGGTTGAAGCCGCCGCTGTGTGTATGGAGGGAAGGGCATTGAATTGGTACCAATGGGTGGAAGTGCGCAAACCCTTCAAGTCATGGGATGAGTTTAAAGCAGCTATTAGCCGCGTGTTCTTTCTCATAACAAACTCTCCACACTCATAACAAACTCACCACTCTCCACATTCACTGTCACATCACCCTCACTGCACCTTAATGCCTATTCCTACTCTTGCCTTTCAATTTATAAACCTTGCGTATGGGTGGTCTAACACATAATCATTGTAACAAAAGATCCTTAGTTTAAGTAAACTAAGACACACTAATGTGTTATGTAATTCTTATTTAATATGTAAGTATTCTTGTCATGTTGATTTCTTAACTCATTTCCGATTAGGAGGTCAAAATTAATCTATATCTCCCATCTCTCTCTCATACATGCACGTGACCTTACATAAGAAATTCCTATATTTTTTTGTATTAGAACATAAACCACAATATAGCACTTTATAACATGTAAATTCTAGAAAATAATATCTAAGAGGTAAATCAACATTTGAATTGTTCAAGGCAAACTCATATCAACTAAGAACCATGAGAAAGTGTCTGGTAGGAAGGCAGAGAGAAAGAACTGACAATGGAATGAACAAGAGAGAAGAGAAACCCCAATCCCTTACTTGATGCACAGAAGAGAGATGAGGAACACCCATCAAACCAGTAGTTCCAGAAGTAGACAAAATGGAGGAATTAAAATTAACTACCACTAAAAAATCATATCATTCTACAATTTTACCCCTTTATCTCTTCTTTCATTTTCTCTCCACCGAACACAAAGGTTTCCCTATCCTCCCCACCTCTATCCTACCAATCTTTCCCTCATTTTCCAATCCCTCCCACGAAACAAGCATATATTCAGTTGAATTCTCATACAAGACTCTGAAATTTTAGTAGAGCTAAGATTCTTAGAATAACAATCAAAGAAATTAAAAAGTCTGCAACAGGATGAGTTGGTGACTATGTTCAAGACTCCACGGATTAAGACTATAGCATAATTGCATATGTAGATAAGCACTTAAATATGCAAAAATCCCTCCAAATATGTAACTCCTAGCATGGTAAATGCTATGGAAACAAACATATTTAAGTATTTGATATCAACTGAGATTAGCACAGTGCATAGTTTATGGCAATTCATGACCGCCACAGTAGTGTGCATCACATGAAAGGTAAAAGTAATTTTCTCTGAAATATAATATTCTAATCCTAAGATTCAATAACAGTGTATAGTAACTTGGAATGCAAACCCCACTTAATTCTTTGTGTATATTTGTTAGAGGTATTTTCCAATCAAATCTGAATCTTCACATTCTCAGCCCACAAAGGAACAGGTCCTGTAAACTCCTACAGCGGGCAAAACACTCAAATACAGTTTGAGAAAAAAGGGATAAAGTGTGCAAGTCATATCACATGCAAAACTCCTTTCACAAACCACGGTTCAGATATATCGCTCTAGAAAAAGCAAAGTGGTGTAGATAACTTCACAATCATAATCAAAACATTAACTATCACAAAAGAATGATACCAAGGAAAAGCACATAGATACAGTATTTCTTCATATATCGCTCCTACTAAGAATGTAGGGCCACAGACAACAAAGACACCACCTGGTTTCATAATAAAAAATAAAAACTAGAGCTGCTTCGACCAGCATAAAACTTTTACACTGAAGTACAATGAAGCAACTCAAATGACTGAGAAAAAAATCTTACACTTGTGTTATTTGCCGGCTTTCATGATTTCCTCTAAGGATTGTAATTCTATCTCTGTACCGAACTTTCAGTGCCACCAAAAGCGTGACAGTCTCTACTGAATAGTACCCACGATCTACATAGAAGTAACATAGCTAATTAAAATGTGCTAGAGCATTCATTTTCATTAATTTTCATCCAGATACCCAGATTTCAAAATTAAAACAAAGATAAAATAAACATATTCGTTTGCACAATCACTAAAACTACAAATAAAACCTAATTGGATAACATTTAAAATCAGTTTCTATAAATTTGGCATACATCTCAATACACAAATTAACAAATTTAATAGCAAGCAAATAGCCAGCATAAAATACATGAATTATAAGAAAAAATGAAAATCCAGATCGAAAAATAGAAGAAGAGATTGACTTACCTACGTAATCGCCCATAAAGAGATAATTAGTATCGGGAGCATTGCCACCTATGCGAAAAAGCTCGATTAGATCATAAAACTGTCCGTGAATATCGCCGCATACGGTGACCGGACACTTGACTGGCTGGACGTTCCACTCCTCCGCCAAAATCGCTCTCGCTTGATCGCACAGAGTCTTCACCTCCGCCTCCGACAACGGCTTGCACTCCATCAAGTGCTCGATCTGCCTATCCAGATCCCCCTGTGACGGCATCGTTTCAGATCAAACCAGATCCACGTATCAATAGATCGAAAGCCTAGGAAAGTAAAGAAACGATAGGCTTAGGGTTTCTGATTAACAAAACGAATCGTTTTGATGATCGCCACGAATTCGATCTTTCTATCATTGATTCATTACAGTGTTTTTTTTTTAAATTAATTTTATTTATTTAAAAAAAAAATTGTCGTGTATATACGAATGATTTGCTTTGTGAATGAAAAAAAAGAAAGAAATGGAGGGGAAGAGGGGGAGAGTGAAATGAAACACAAATGCAAATGAAATGGAGATTCAATTTCAAACGACGATGATAATGATGTTTGTGTTTTCTTTAATTAGTTTTTTTTTTAAATATTTTTTTAAAATAAAAAATAACTTGTTACATGTTATATTTGTTTGCGTCCGTGAAATTTTTTCTCTCTCCGGTGGCTCCGTCGAGTCAAAATCGTAAAGGAGCGTGATACGTGTCGGATTGGCTCCTTTCATTTAATTAATTTATTATTACATAAATAAAGGCATATTTAATTGATTTTAAAGTTTAACATCCTTCTTGCTTAGGTGTCTGTCTGTGTGGAGTTGTGAGGGTCAAAGACACAAAGTGATGAAAATGCATTTGGTCAAAGAAAGCACAACAAGATTGAACATCCGTTCAGCTTTTGAATTTTTTACTAAAGAAATTCTTTTTTCTTTTTAATATTTAGTGTCATCCCTGATAAAAAGACAAATTTAGTATTCAAATGGATAAATGATTCAAAAATAAAAAGATAAATATTAGATGAGTAATAAATTCATAGGTATAGAATAATTAACGTTTTTACGTAAATTTTGTGAAAATTATATTTAAATATTATTGTTTTATCTATAAACATTGTATTATTATTCTCACAAAATTTAAGTAAGAATAAATAATTTTCCCAGTTATAAAAAAGAACGTCTATTATATATATATAATTGTCAAAACCGATAAGGTTAATGACCTAATTTCATATATAAGTAAACTCAGCAAAATTAGTTTTTTAAAACAATAATACCAACCTCATAAACATAGTATTACTCTTTTAAAAAACGTATACATTATCTAGCACTAAAAAAATATCCTGCATGTTTCAGAATACCAATCTTATACACCTTTTTATTTAAGATTAATTTACGCTGACAAGTTAGATACACAAACTCAATTATATACAAGCCCATGTGACAATTGACATTATTATATTTATTTTATGAGTAAACGACTTTTTGCCACCCAAGCTGCCTTAATTTTCAACCATAAAAATTTTAAAATACCATTTTTCTACCCAATGTTTATATTTTATTAATGAATAAAGATAGATTGACAAACATTTCTCACAAATACTGATATGACAGCTCGCATTTGAGCAGATGAGACCCATTATTGGATAAGCGGGATCTATTACAAGTTAACCAATCATGAGCTTACACGTCATGTTTGTGAGAGAAAGTTAGTGAAAAGAGTTTTTTAGTGTAGTATTACTGTTCATTAATACCCAACATATACTTTACTTTCTCAATCGATATTTGACGAGTTATCAGGAGTTAGGGTATGAGAAGTTTTGTAGAGTGGAGACCATTAGATCAAATAGTGGTGACCGATTGAATATTCATCGCTGGAAATAAACTAAGAATATAAAACACTAACTTCGGGATGACCGACAATCGGTGAGAAATTAGATACTAAAGTAAGAGGGGGTTTGTAGAGAGGAGACTAGAAGTTCAAATAGTGGTGACGGAGAGAATTTTCGTCATCGGAATCGGCTTTGGGTAGTAATGGAATATAAACTTTGGGTTAAACAGTGGTATGTTGAAACTTTTGGGGTGGGAAGTTTTAGTGACGCAAACCTTGGGTGGGACAAAGACGTTTACTGTTATTTTATTACCACATAAGTTTGTACGTGTATTTTGTTTTTAGTCAAATTATAATATTATTTAGATTTGAGTTTATTTAAATATCAATTTATTATTGTATTATTTGCTACCTCTGGTCCTCTGCAAATTAAATTCCCTTTTTTTTTTTTTTTTTTTTTTTGTAACTCTTAACTCCCATTTCCTCACTTTCTGTTGTTTTGGTCCGATTATTTTACCTTACTATTAGTGTGATCTTAGGACTTTGAAGTTTGAACTAGAATATAATCTAAATTTTACACTGGATCAATTAACTGAATAATTAATTTTTATAATTTAATTGTCTAAGAAATACCTAATTTTTTTAACTCATATATATTTTTATAATAAAGTAAAGGTAAAAATCAGAGGATCTTGGTCTAAGAAACCATAACATCCTTACTTAATTATTAACTGCTATTAGAAAATACCTCTTGTTACATTTTGTATGTAGTATTCAAATTTGTATGTAATATGATGAAGTGATGCAGGGTTTTTTTTTATTTTTATCTTTTTTATGACTTGGATGTCCGGACCAGTTTGTGTGCACCTCAACTAATTTTCGAAGTCCATTGAACATCCTTCAAGTCCCATGTTCTAGGATAAATCACAAATATGGTAGGTGATCTTAAGGTGATTTAACCGCAGAAAATTAATGAATGGGAATGATCCTTATTGGCCATTAGGCCAACCCCTTAGAGTTAATGCAGAGTTTTTGGCTTTGCTTGGCAGCTTCACATGCCACAAAAGCACCCATTTGAATCTCTTTTTCCTTTTTCCCTTTTTGGTAACTGCCACAATTTGAATCAGTCTTACTTTAGACTCAGAGATGAATTAATCCAAACCCCCGAACAAACAAGAAAAAGAGAAATATGGGTACAAAAAGCTTGCTGCACTGCACCTTGTGTATAGAGACGACCCCTTTTGATTTTCACTTTGAAGAAAACAGAGAGACAGACGGTAACTTACCTTATAATAAGATATCTATATAGGCAAATAATATTGTTGCTTAAATCTTTTAAATTTAATTAATTAATTTGTTTTTGATTGCAACGAGACTAGAAGAATCTCATGCTGTTTGATTTGGACCAAAGACCAAAACAGTAGTAGTATTCCCCACCAAAGAATCCAGGGAAAAGGACTAACACAAGATGCAATCACCTTTCTTTTTTAACTCTCTTACCTTTAAATCTTTAATTGGTGGATTCACTTTATTAGTCTGGGAACTCATTCCATAATAGTTTAACCCCAATTAATTATGTAATTAAAAAAGTTTGAACAACGCCAAAGCCAAACCAAAGTCGAATAATATTTGATTGATTGATAGACAGATAGAGATTGGTACATGCATGCATGGCTGCTGCTGCAGAACATCTACTCTGCAATTTTTTTTTTTTTTTTTAATCTCTATTCATAATCAATCTCTCTTTTTCTTTCTCTACACAACTCATCACACAAAAATCTTCAATTGATAATAATTAAAAAAAATAAATAAAAAAAAAATCTGTTAAACACTAATAAAGTAGAGTTTTTACAAGGCTGCTCATCTGCTGGATTCTTGCAAGCGTTCGTATTAATTCCTGTGTAAAATCACAATAACTTCTATTTCTTCACTCCGCTAATACCTCGCCCAAAAGAAATCTTACGTGTTTAAACTAAAACAAGATTTGCACGCATTCTGGGATTCTGAAAATATGTTCACTAGTTCTTCTAGTTGTAATCCCCATTATATTTTTGTAACAATTACACCAAGATGACAGGCAAACATCTTGTGTCATCTTCTGCGTACGTTTTTGGTAAAGCTTTCTCAAGCTTTGTCACCTACGATTGTCCAGGAGGTCTTCTAGATTTCCCAGCTCTCCTGTAATTCAACCAGGATTTTGACTAAAAAAGATCCAGAATATCAAAATTGACAAGTTAGATACACAAACTCAATTATATACAAGCCCATGTGACAATTGACATTATTATATTTATTTTATGAGTAAACGACTTTTTGCCACCCAAGCTGCCTTAATTTTCAACCATAAAAATTTTAAAATACCATTTTTCTACCCAATGTTTATATTTTATTAATGAATAAAGATAGATTGACAAACATTTCTCACAAATACTGATATGACAGCTCGCATTTGAGCAGATGAGACCCATTATTGGATAAGCGGGATCTATTACAAGTTAACCAATCATGAGCTTACACGTCATGTTTGTGAGAGAAAGTTAGTGAAAAGAGTTTTTTAGTGTAGTATTACTGTTCATTAATACCCAACATATACTTTACTTTCTCAATCGATATTTGACGAGTTATCAGGAGTTAGGGTATGAGAAGTTTTGTAGAGTGGAGACCATTAGATCAAATAGTGGTGACCGATTGAATATTCATCGCTGGAAATAAACTAAGAATATAAAACACTAACTTCGGGATGACCGACAATCGGTGAGAAATTAGATACTAAAGTAAGAGGGGGTTTGTAGAGAGGAGACTAGAAGTTCAAATAGTGGTGACGGAGAGAATTTTCGTCATCGGAATCGGCTTTGGGTAGTAATGGAATATAAACTTTGGGTTAAACAGTGGTATGTTGAAACTTTTGGGGTGGGAAGTTTTAGTGACGCAAACCTTGGGTGGGACAAAGACGTTTACTGTTATTTTATTACCACATAAGTTTGTACGTGTATTTTGTTTTTAGTCAAATTATAATATTATTTAGATTTGAGTTTATTTAAATATCAATTTATTATTGTATTATTTGCTACCTCTGGTCCTCTGCAAATTAAATTCCCTTTTTTTTTTTTTTTTTTTTTTTGTAACTCTTAACTCCCATTTCCTCACTTTCTGTTGTTTTGGTCCGATTATTTTACCTTACTATTAGTGTGATCTTAGGACTTTGAAGTTTGAACTAGAATATATTATAAATTTTACACTGGATCAATTAACTGAGTAATTAATTTTTTATAATTTAATTGTCTAAGAAATAACTAATTTTTTTAACTCATATGTATTTTTATAATAAAGTAAAGGTAATTATCAGAGGATCTTGGTCTAAGAAACCATAACATCCTTCCTTAATTATTAACTGCTATTAGAAAAGACCTCTTATTACATTTTGTATGTAGTATTCAAATTTGTATGTAATATGAAGTGATGCAGGGTTTTTTTTATTTTTATTTTTTTTATGACTTGGGTGTCCGGACTAGCTTACATGCACCTTAACTAATTTTCGGAGTCCATTGAACATCCTATAAGTCCTATGTTCTAGGATAAACCACAAATATGGTAGGTAATCCTAAGATGATTTAAACGTAGGAAATTAATGAAGAGAACGATCCTTATTGCCCGCTAAGCCAACCCCTTGGAGTTAA